GTTCTGTTTCATGGTGCTTAAACATTTATTACTCTTCCGACGCTTCTACTTTAAAAAATAAAAGAAACAAGCCCATTTTCTTCATGTTCAGGGTGCTCCACACTTGAACTTTGCCCATATTTCCCACACCCAACCTATCTCCTTTCATGCACCCAGATCCATTGTTTACATCTCCCTCAAACTTCTTACCATGTTATTCATTATTATATGTAATGTACATACAAATGGTGGTAATGCCTGGAGGATTCAACAGTACAACACAGTTCCTGCCCCAGAAGTTGATCTTGTTTTAAGGTGAGATGTAATAGGAGGATAGAAAAAAAGGGAAAAATATTAGGATAAGAGTACTTCAATGTGTAGCAGCAGACTAGGCACAAGCATAATTAGTACTGTTAGTGTTTTATTGTGTTAGTGGAAATAGAAGATGGTTAACATAAGTCTTACCTCACCATCTGCCCTGCAATTATATCCTGACTGCTCTTTTTTCGTTCCTTTGTTTGCTGTCCATTTGAAAAGTCTCACAGCTGTCCCTCTCTCGTTTCAAAATATTTTAAAATCCTTCACCTTTGTGATATGACATATCTGGATGAATGGATATGGCATTATCCATTCTGGGCTCGTCCTTTTTATTTTGTACCATATTTTAGCACCTTGTTCCTTCAAAGTAGGAAACTTTTAGTAGAGAGCACTACATTGTATATCTGTGTGTGTGTGTATTGTTTTAACTGTAAATTAGAAGATAGCATGTTTAAGTGTGAATGGCAATTATAAATTGAAGATAGAAAATGGTTTTCTAAGGAATTTTTAAGCACTGCAAGTATATAAGTACTTCATTAGGAGAGATTGGGAAGCCTAATGTACTGTTTAGTTTAACAACTATGGGACAGTCCCTTGTGGTTTTTGTTTTTTTTGGTTGTACAATCTCTTTAGAGTTACAGTTATCAGTTTACAGATCATGAAAGAGCCTGTTCTTTGAGTGTAAATGTATAACTCGCATGAAACAATGAGATTATATTTTTGTTAGCGTTAAATGGGATAGTATTTACACTAGGAATGAAGAATTATTACAGACAACTGAATTTCTTGAATGTTTGAAAGTGAATCAAGGCATCTTTAGGTTCAAACAGTTCTACATCCTCTTCCCCTCCTCCCAGCTCCCCTAATGTTAATGTCAACTTAGTTTTAAAGACCTGACTTTGGCAGCAAACTTAAATCCCTTCCTAATGAAAGCTTAAGAACAGAATAACAATAACAAATAACGAGACCAATAAGACTACAGGATGTTTTCTAATTTATACTAAAAAGACAAAGCTAGCAAATGTGAAGGGATAAATTCAGTTGTGCCATAGAGCGCAGTTTGAAAGGTCACGGTTTTCTGAGGAAGATCAATACCTGCTTATTAGAGGATTTATTATTAAGGATGAGAGAGAAATCTATTTTCAACCAAAACTTTTATAAGACTTGAACAAAAAATGCCCTAAAGAAAACAAAATAAACACCTATCTAAAACATACACTAGCCATAAAATCCAAAGTGGCTGGGGTAAATGAAAATACTTCACTTGGAAGATCTTCAGTTCATTCAAATTGTCATTGTTCCACTGATAAAATGAAGATAGGAGAGTTTACACATCTACTGAAAACTTTCCCTCTAACCATCAGGCTATAAACTACTTATGTTGAAGCAGGGCCACTGTGCAGCAAAGAATGAAAAAGATGGGGAATGAGAATAGGTAAGAAATAGCTTTAATCTATAGTCTAGTGGTTTGGGCAATCTGCTTAGAAGGGGGACTACTCCGTTCTGGTCTCTTCTGCCTACAATACTGAGGCATGTCACTTTGGACGTTCGCTATATGGAAGATAGGAATTGCCTAGGAAAGACAGTCTATCACTCACACCCATGCTTAAATTCAAATTCAAATAGCAAGAATAAAGACAGCACAAGTTGTGTGTTTAAGCATATGAACAAAAGGATTCAGGACAAGCTGGATGGAACGGAGCCATTAAAATCAAATTGACAAGAGCATTAAAGGAGAATTGGTGGGAGGGGGAAGAGGATGTAGAATTGTTTGAGCCTGAAGCTGCTTTGATTCATTTTCAAACCTTCATGAACCTTATATAACCTTTCTTCATTCCTGGTGTAAATACTCTCATTTAGCATTCCAGAGCATAACAAACAAGACTCTGTGGGATCTGGGCACCTGTTTCTTCAATACCTCCAATTAAGAGAGTTATACTCCAATTAGGAGACATCGCTGAGCACCTTCCCCTACCTCGGTGGCCGCCTCTGTCAGAGAGCGAACATTGATAAGGAGATCCAGCACAGGATCTGGTATGCAAGTGCCTCCTTTGGGAAATTGTTTATTAATTGAGATTAGTGTGCCTTTATTCATTGAGATCTCCAGAAAGACACAAAGATCCAGGTGTACAATGCAGTCGTCATTCCCAGTTTCCTCTGTGGATGTGAAATGTTATCATTTGACGAGCCCAGAGAGGTATCACCAATGATGCCTTCACATCAGATGGGAAGATTGCCACAGACACACCATCATCCTTGATGAAGCCAGTGTCACCAGCATTGAGTCTGTGATTCTCGAGCACCAACTTTGCTGGACAGGGCATTGTGTGCAGATGCCTGATTCTCAACTCCACAAACAAGTGGTCTACTCCCAGCTCAGTACCAGCCTGACATCTCACCAGAGGAAATGCTACAAGGACACATTGAAGGCATACCTCAAGAAAACAGATGCCAACATCAAGAACTAGGAGGAGCTGGCTGCCAACTGACTCCAATGGCACCGCAACCTTAACCAAGTGACAGTCTATTTTCATACAATCATACAATCATAGACAATTAGGGTTGAAAGGGACCTCAGGAGGTCACCTAGTTCAACTCCCTGCTAAGAACAGCCTCAGCTAGATCATCCCAGCCAAGGCTTTGTTGAGCTGGGCCTTAAAAACTTTCAAGGATGGAGACTCCACACACTCTCTGAGTGACCCGCTCCACTGCTTCACCACCCTCCTAGTGAGAGTTTTTCCTAATATCCAACCTAACCTTCCCTTGCTGCAACTTGAGACTTTTGCTCCTTGTTCTGTCATCTGCCACCACTGAGAACAGTCCAGCTCCATCCTCTTTGGAACCCCCTTCAGGTTGTTGAAGGCTGCTATTAAATCCCCCTTCAGTCTTCTCTTCTCCAGACTAAGTAAGTCCTGCTCCCTCAGCCTCTCCTCAGAAAGCAGTTTCCTTGCTCTCTGCTGGACTCTTTCCAACTAGTTTGAGGTAAACTGTCTTGCCCTTGAAGCAGAGAAGATCGGAGGAAGGAGAAGGAGAGAAATCCTAGTTTAAGGCTTACTATTGCCTGCAGACTGACCCGCAGCTTCTGTGCACTGTTCTGTGGCCCAAGGAACATACTCTTAAGTCAGAGGATCCCAACCCTGTGCTGTGACCCAGCACCAGGCTTCAACAGCTTTGCTGCCAGTCCACAGGAGGGTTGGCTGCTGGACAGGAAGCCGAGAAGTGACTGGCATATGGTGGACTGGCAGCCAACACTTTTCTACATTCAGTATAAAAAAGGGTTGGCTTCTGGTCCGCCGTATGCCGGTCATTTCTAGTCTGCAGTATGCTGGTCCACAGTTTGCCGGTCTGCCGTCACTTCTGGTCCGCAGCTTAAACATTGGGAACCACTGTCTTAAGTCACCTCAAGACCCATCAACGAGCTGTGGCAGAGAGCATCCTCCAATTGAGGGACTGCCAGCTGCTCCTTAGCCCAGCTGCCAACATTGCCTCCAAGTCCTCAGTCAAAGGAGCTAAACCCTGGAGAGCCCTAAGCGCGCTCCCACCCCCGTGCTGTAACAGCACAGACACAAAAGGGGGCAGGGAAGGAAGTGGATCCTTTTTAAACACTGGGTTTTTGGTGGTAGCCACATTGGTCTAAGGGCACAGGCCGGCCAGGGTCTTTGAGTAGATGTGATAGTTGTGTGTTGAAGCAGGTGAAGCGTAGTCCTATGCTTACCTGGCAAGGGCAACACCGTGAGCACTGAGGCAGCTTCCCTAGTCGCACCTGGGGCAGATGCCTCTCCTGGCACAGGGATGGTACCTGCCCAGGTCCTGTGTACAGCTGCTGGAGCAGGAAGGTCTTGGCTTTACGCCCACTTTATGGAAAGGGGAGACTCCTCCCCAGCAAGCAACGCTTTGGGCTTGGGCCTGCGCGTAGGACGCACGCCAAAGGGTTTGGAAACATCTGAAGCCCCAAAAAGGGGCAGAGGACACTTGCGGGCGCTAGGGCCACTTATGGTTCTGGAGGGACTCGTGCATTTAGAATTTAATTTGTCTTGCAACACGGGCAATGTCAAAAAAAGTGATCTATTTATTAGATCAACTCCTTTCCCCCTGCCCTGCCCTTATAACTTTCATATTTTGCCGAGGGAGGGGAGACGCTGCTGGCAGCCCGCGCTACCTTTCCTCAGCCCCCGCACCACGGCCTTTCCCGGGGCAGAGGCGGGGCGGCGGGGAGGGGCGGGGCCAATTTGTCTTGCAACACGGGCAATGTCAAAAAAAGTGATCTATTTATTAGATCAACTCCTTTCCCCCTGCCCTGCCCTTATAACTTTCATATTTTGCCGAGGGAGGGGAGACGCTGCTGGCAGCCCGCGCTACCTTTCCTCAGCCCCCGCACCACGGCCTTTCCCGGGGCAGAGGCGGGGCGGCGGGGAGGGGCGGGGCCCGCCT